TTACAACCAAGAATCACCTACCCAGCAAAACTGAGTATAATCCTTCAGGGGAAAAATGGTTATTCAGTGAAATAGAGAACTTTCAAGCATTCTTGACGAAAAGACCAGAGCCGAATAGAAAATTTGACTTTCAAATACAAGACTCAAGTGGAACATGAAGAAGTAAACAGGAAAGAGAAATCATAAGAGGCTTATTAAGGTTGAACAATTCACATTTCTGCATGGAAAGATGATATTTATAACTCGAGACCTTTGTCAGTATTAGGGTAGTAGGAGGGGGAAAATTTGTATGTAAGTATATAGATAGACAGGTAGTTAGGTAGAGGGCACAGGTTGAGTTGAAGATTGAGGGGTCATATCTGGAGAATAAAATTAAGGGATGAGAGAGATTATACTAGGAGAAGAAGAAAGGGAGAGGTAAATGGGGTAAATTATGTCACAAAAAAACAGAAAAGAAAAGTCTCTTACAGTGGAGGGGAAACAGGGGAAAGTGAGAGGGAATGAATGAATCTTATTCTCATAGGATTTGGCTTAAGGAGGGAATAACATACACATTCAATTGGGTATGGAAATCTGTCTTACCCTACAGGAAAATAGGGGGGAAGGGGACAAGAGAGCAGGGGGATGATAGAGAGGAGGGGATTGGGAAAGGGGTAATCAGAAGCAAATACTTCTGAGGAGGGACAGGGTCAAAAGAAAGAATAGAATAAATGGGGGGGGCAGGATAGGATTAAGGGAAATAGAGTTAGTTTTTCACAACATCTCTACCATGGAAGTGTTTTGCATAACTGCACATGTATAACCTATATTGAGTTGCTTGCCTTTTCAATGAGGGTGGGGGGTGGGAGGAAGGGAGAAAATTTGGAACCCAAAGTTTTAAAAACATGTTTAAAAAAAAAGTTTTCACATGCAACTGGGAAATAAAAAATACAGGAAATGGGGTATAGAAGTCTATCCTGCCCTACAAGAAAATAGAAGGGGAAGGGGATAAGAGAAGTGGAGGGGGAGAGATAGAAGAGAGGGCAGACTAGGGGAAGTGGTATTCAGAATGCATGCCATCTTGGGGTAGGGGGGAGGGGTGAGATGGGGTGAAAATTTGGAACTCAAAATCTTGTGGAAGTAAATGTTGAAAACTAAAAATAAATAAATTTATATAAAATTTTTTTTCATATTGATGCTAGGAAAACTGTAGTTCTTTTTCACTCTGATTTGTCAGCAGCCCTGAAAGGACAATTGTAAATGTGACTCTTGTTTTATATTTTGGGCTGAGCAATTTTGTAGAGGTTAAGTAGAATTTTGTTATTTGGAATGCCAATTAATTTTAAAAACACCACTCGCTATCACTTAATTCATGTTTCCTTAGCTTTTCTTGCTCTGTAATTCATCTATAACCCAAAGACCAAAACTGCAGAAGTCTCATTTAAGGTCAATAAATAAGCATAATGACTTAAGGGGAGAGAAGCAGTAAGGGAAAGACTAGTTAGACTAACCAAAATAATGTCAGTTCCATTATGAATATCTGAAATCTATGTGCATAAAAATTAGAATGCTTCAGATTTTGAAATTAAACATTTGCTGTTTATAGCAAAGGTGCTGAAGTTGTTTTGTAGTGATAGAGAAAAAAACTTTCCCAGCTCCCAGAAGTGTTTATTATAAATGTGACAAGGAAGAAATTCCACACTGTAAATTGGGATAATCTTGTCACCAAAAGCTTTTCTCATTGTGCATTGTGATGATTTGTCTTATTCTGGTTAGCTTCAGAAAAGTAAACTGAATGAAGATATTCACTGTAATACAATAGTAATGATGGTTTAAGACATACCCTTAGGCAGTAGGTGCAGTGCTTAAGAGGGAAAAATGCTGGATTTGGAGCTAAGTAACATCTGTTCGATTTCCAGCTCGGTTTTCTGGTTTGTCAAGTTATGCATATCACCTGTTAACTAAAGATTTAGATTCAAACTCTTATTTGGAAACCCATTAAGCTAAGTCATATATACCAATAGTTGCTTAATGTTAATTCTAAGCCTATGGTTTTTTTTTTCCTCCAAGCAGTGGCCGTAAGAAATACTAATTTACATCACCTTTTACAAAAATATTTGACTATTTATCTTGAATAGAAAAACATTGAGAAGATATCAACTTGCCCTGGATATGGGAAAGGCTTAGGGATTCTGCTGGTAAGCAATGGATTGTTCTTTGGGACACTTAACATTTCTTCTCCACTGAACACCTGCCTAAGAGAAAAGAAGCTTAAGTTACAGTTAGGGAAAATGAGATTAGACACGAGAATTAGTAGGCTGAAGATTCTTGAAGGTTAAAATGAATTGCTTAGGAAGGTTAGTTTGTAATATGTTTTAGATGATTTCAGCACACTATTGTGGGAGGTAGAATGAAAAAGGGAAGGTACTCTTTAGAAGACTATGGAAGGTTATCACAACTTTGTTACTTTGTGATCATTATAGTGCGTCTGATGTGCTTGTGTCCTCAGGGTAGGTGCTGATTCTAAATGCTAAGGTTTTCTGGTTCTTTACTAAGCTACTATTTGTAAGATGAAGGAGAAGTTTCTTATTTGGTTAAAGCAATATACTTAAGATGATCATGGCCACAGTGAAGAATTATAGGGCCAGGTAATTTTCTTCTCTATCAGATGACTTCCTTAATGCCTATTGTTTTATAACTAAATTGGAGCAGAGACTGTCTTCCCCTTTCTTTGTATCTCTAGCTCTTAGCGTAGTTCCTGGCTATTTGAGCTTAGTAAACACTTAAAATGCCCATTGACTTGACTTAACTTGGATAAAGTGATGGTCTATCAAAATCCCTGCAAATCTGTCCTCACCCTAGGTAAATTGACTCCCTCAAAGTACATTTTATATTCAGTTGGTGAGTCAGTAACTTCAGTGGGTGGATTAGTGCTAGATTTGGAGTTAGGAAGATAGGGCTCAATTTCATCTCTGTGCTTTAGCTGTGTGACCAGGGATAAGTCACTTAGCCATTCTGAACCTCAGGTTCCTCATCTATAAAGCCCATAGTACCTACCTCCCTGGGTTGCAAGTCACTTGCAAATCAAGATATCACTTTCATTGGTCTTCTTGGAGAATGAAGGACAAACAACAACAACAAAGCATGAGGCTCAAACGAGATAATGTATATAAAACACTTTGCAAATGTCAACTATTACCTTTTCACAGGATATCTCCAAGGTCTTAGGACAGTTTGAAGCTATTAAAATGTAAAAGTGCACTAAAGACTTTTGGGACATCCTTTGTACAAAAAAAAGTTTTTTTTAAAAGCTTGTGATATTTTCAAAAATATATATTCAATTCTACAAGCATTTACTATCTGACAGACACAGTGCTAAATACCGGGGATGCAAAGACAAAAAACAGCCCTTGCCTTCAAGGAGATTTATATTGTTTCTCTATTTTCCTTCCTGCTTGGAATTTTAAATTTTCTTATGAGGCTAAATATTGCAACAAGTAGTTTTTTCTTAATACCACATGATTCACCTCTGTTGAACTATAAGGAATTTTTCTTCTTTTTGTCTGTACTTTTGCCTATCTAAAATATGAATGAAGATTTTTTTCATCTCAAGTGTGTATGGAAATGAGTCAGTTCCTCCTAGTACATTCTGTTCTCATCGGCCCTTCAGTATCTTTCTTTTAAGATTTTATGATTTTTGAGATGTTCTGTGATTAGAAAAGTATGGCCTTAGCTGATTCCTCATACCTAGTTTGGGTCCTAAGTACCTCATGGTGACCTCCTGTGTTCATTCAGTTGCTGTTGAGAAGAAAGAAGATTGACATTTAACTGAAATAAAAGGTAATTAGGTAGAAGCGTTTATGGACAATTGCGTGTTCGTCATCTAGTCGTCTCTGTTGTTATGAAGTCCTTGTCAGTGCAGAGTGAGCACATGTTGCGGGTGTTAACACTGACCAGCACAGGGGGTACTGGAGTCCTCTGACTTAAATCCATTCTAGAATGGCCTCAGCAGAAGGCCATGCCAAAAGAAACAAAAAACAGATGGATGGCCAATACAAAGATTTGGTCTTTTGTCTCTCTGGATTCTAAGGGTTATAGTCCCTTGTCTCCAAGGGAAAAAACTCAGCTGATCTTGACCAAGTTCAGGAGTGCCAGTGAAGGGCAGGTATTGTGCCTTACTTGCGTTAAATTCACTTAAATTATTGGATTACACTAGCATAGTGTAGTGTGTACGAAGTTGACTTGGAAGCCAAAAAGACCTGGATTCAAGTCCTACCTTTAATACATTCTGACAATGTGACCTTGGGAACACATTTATCTCTTGTTGCTCTGGGCAGCTATGACTCAAGTTGCAGAGAAGATGCCAATCTACATTGGTAGAGAGAGTTTTCTTACCTAGGTGTTTCCTTTATCACTGAATTTCAATCACCATATTTTTTTCCATTGTAGCATCTCTTATGGGGAGGGGGGGTGTGTAGCATAGCATTATCAATGGAGAGTTAGCAAGACCTGACCACGGACAAGTCACTTCATATCACAGAGCTTCAGTTTCTTTATTTGAAAAATGAGGTAATCAAATGAGATTATAATTGTAAAGCACTTAGCATAGTGCCTGGTACATAGTAGGTGTTTAATAAATGTTTATACCCTCACCTCTTTCCCCCAAATGTCATCATGAATGGAGAACTCTTTGCAAAATTTAAAGTGCCATATACATGTCAGTTGAGAAAGACAGAATGGATAGAGAGCTCATCTTGGAGCTGGGAACCTCAACTTGTGTTGAAGCCCTGACTCTGGTACACAGGGTGTATGTGACCTTGGGTAAGTCACTTAACCACTTGGTGTCCCAGGAAACTCTTAAGACTAAGATTCTAAAAGCAGGTGTCATTCCACGTGACAGAAGATATTTCTTCCCTGGGAATTTCCAGTGTCAAAGAAACCACAGGTTTCCCTCTCCCCCCAAATCAGTTGTTATCATTAAAATCTAAGTCAATGGAAAAACCAGGTTCAGTTGACAGAAGTTCATATTGCAGTAAACTTTACTAGACTGTAGACAGTTAAGTGAGCATTGAATGTTGTTGAAAAGGGTGAAATTATCTGAGGATTCTGGTATTTGTAGAACTTTTTCCTGTTTTGCCTATCATTGAATCCTTCAAAGCTGAAAGCAGCTGCAAACAATGTGGCAGAGAAACACGAGGCTAGGGGATAAGAGTGGAGAGATTATCTCATTGTCTGGCAGGCTTGTGCCCCGAGCAAACCTCCTACAACACTCCCAAGACAAGCAGATGTTGATGTTTAAAGACAAGTTCAGTTTGAGAAAGAGACCTAAGGACATTACCACTAAGCCCTTGTACCTTGGATACCACCCTGTGATGGGGAGTTAGAGGTCCTTGGACATCAGCCCCTGTGGGTGGAGACCTCTCTCAGGATGCTTATTACCCCTGCTGAGGAAGCTGCCACCAGGAGAGACAACAGGGCAGGGCTAGAGAGCAATTCACCCAAAATGCATGCTTATGTAGTTTTTTAGTGGGTGGCTGGGGTGGGGAGAGGAGAGGAAAGGAGAAAGAAGAGAGGAGAGTTTCACCATCTGGTGGCTTCCAATTTCAACGAACTATTCTTACTATTTGATTTTAAACTCAGTTATTTCTATGTGTTAAAGTACTTTCAGTGTCTTCTAAATTTTGATAACCTAGGACAATGCCCCAGTCACCTTGACTTAGTTATAGCTTTGGCAATTGGAAATGACTAGGAATGGGGTGGAACTTTCTGAGCAAGGACATAGTTTGGCCTATGAGTGGCCTAAGGCTGTTGCAAATAACAATTGTAAATCAGAAGATCAACTTTCTTGTACAATATAGAAAGGCCTTTTGTTGTACTTATTGGTTATACCTTGCTTGTTGGTGTATTTGGTTCTCCCATCTGACCCATTTTTCCCCTTTCTAAAAATCTGTCAGAAACACAGTTAAAAATAGGCACTTACCTTAAAGTGCATTACAGAAATACTAGCAAAAACTATTTAAATATTTTATATATTTTTTTCATGGTGCACAAATGTACAATTGTTCAATTTCACAAACATTTGAGAGGTTAAAGGGAAAGAAACTGTATTCTCAAATCTCCCAACCCTGTAAAGTCTCCCAAAACTCTTGGGAGTCAAGCTTATCTGGCCTCAAGGTACCAGAAGATAACTACAAGAGTGAAAATGATACATAGGAAATTCTGATTCATTGTTATTGTTTTGCTGTATCCTGCTGGGGCTGAGATGATCCCAAACCGATGATGTTCCTGGGTTTTCCCTTTGAATTTCTATTACTGAGTAACAGGAATGACACTTTAATAAATGTCATAAATGTTGGGCCTACAAAGTAATTGTATCCTTGTGTCTAAGAACTCAGGAATTCTATCCATTAGTCATCAGGGTGCCCCCCCTGCAATTCTGTGAAGTAGATTGGAACTGGTGGTCTTCCCCTTTTGCAGTTGGCAAAACTGAAGCACAGAGGCCTAGCCACTTCCCTAGGGTATCATAGCTGGAGAGAGGTTTTCTCTCAAAACCACAGATAAGGAATAGTGAATGTGGATTTCACCATGGTAACCATGGTAGCAGATCTTCCTCTTGGTTTTTGTTTTTCAAATTGTGCCTCTTAAGAATCTGAGAGTGGAATGGACAGTTTTCCTCTTATTCTAGACATCTTTTCTTATCTCCTTGGGGTGGGGGTGACACTGCTTCTCTCTGACAGTCAGTTGTCTGCTTTTACATGGACAGTTACATTGAGGCTTTCTAAGGTCTGATGTAAATGTCTTGTTTCAAATCGGCCCCAGTGAAATTAGCATGGTCTATAATTGATGCTGGTTCTGGAGGGTCTCTTTGGGCCTCCAGTTCAGGATGTCAAATGAGCGGCTGGTGAGCAGAGCTGTTTTTGTTGGTGAGTTTATTAATTTATTGATACCTGTGTCCAAGTGAAGTGTTCTGGAACACCAAAACCAAACGACAATGAAGAGAATAAAGAGAAGATTCCATCAGGATCTCTGAATAGCCTCGTGTCCTTGTTGGGGAGAGATAGGGGACAGAGGAGGTGAATAGTTTTTGATGGGTCGTACTTATTGTTCTCTTTCTCTTCCAGTCCATGCTGATTCCATGTGGAAAAATTAATCTATAAATAGTATCTGATATTCTCCCACAACTCCTTCTTCCCCCAATAAAGAAGTGGGGATCACACAGATTCATTTTCACATTGTTCCTTTCAAATTGATTGAAGCTTGTTCTGGGGACCATCTGGGGAAGAGGCTAAGCTCAGAATGAGGTAGTGACCCAATCACAGTTAAATGTAGTTGTATTCAGCACCAGACAGCAGCCATTCAAGGCGGATAAACTTTCTGGTAAAATATCACTGGCGTTGCTGGCGACAGTGCTGGTGGATAGAGGAACCCCAAGCCAAAGAGAAAAAAATAATTAAGTGGATTTTCTAATATGTCAATAAGGCACAAAGACAGTATTTTTCTTCTGGAATTAGGATCATGTTAGATCTATTAGAATTGCCCTAAGATGGGAAGTCACAGTAACATAACTCTTCATTCCAGCCAGTGCAACCGTGCACAAATGACTTTGTATATACTGTTATCCTTCCACATTGGGGGGTGTTAGGGGTGTGGCACCCCGGCAATCTGGAAAATCCACATAAAACTTTTTGGCCCTCTCTTTGTACCAGAAAAGTCTGGGCTCTCATGGTGTTAAAATATGTTGAGATTATACAATACTATACATATATTTTATGTATTTCTAAGTTTCTAAACTTTTTTCTGTATCATCTGCGGCTTCGGCAAAACTACCCAAAAATTCTCATTTAATTTCTTTATACTTACCTTTGCTATAATGAAACCATGACCGGGAAAGTCATGATGTAGAAAGGATAACTATATATCCTAAAGGATGTCAGGCCTTTTGGGATCAAGCCTTTCCCCAGGGGAGGACTTGTCTCTACCGCACCTTTGAAGGATCTAAGGATCATAGATTTAAATATGCAGGGGACATTGAAGGCCATTAAGTCTAACTAGCCTTTTCCTTTTACAGATAAGGAGAGGAACTAAGGCATAGAATAGTTAGGTAACTAGCCCAGGTAACTGAGACTGAGGTGGGATTTTGACTCTGGTCTCCCTGATTCTAAGTCCAGTACCCTATCCACTATAACATACTGCCTCACCATCAGGTTGGTCTGGGAAAAGGAAAGGGACATTTTACAGCTGGAAGAGGATATTATTATCAGTTCAGTGATTTTAACCAATATATTATAGGTTGAAATGAACATATCTTGATCTCAATAACAAGAGAACATCTTGACCTCAGAAAGGGCCACTGGATGGGAGGGATGGGGGATGGGGAGGCCTGTTCACTACAGAAAGGAAGCCAAAATGAAAGGTTGAGGTTGAAAAGACTATACAAGTACTGGGACCTGACATTTTCATTAGGCCACATTTGCAAAACTTTTCCTTTCTTTGTGTATTGCCTCCTTGAGCTTCCTTTCAAAATTGTCATAATAAGAAAGTATCTCTAGGTCAAACTCCATCATAAGCCTCTTAATAATGGAATATAAAGTAGCTGTAATCAAGGGTACAATACCTGGTAAATAGGTTTTGGCAACAGGTAACTAGCTCAGTTGTGTTGCTAGGTGAAGTTGAGTTGAATGCATTTTTTAAAAGACTATAGCACTCTATCTCCATGGGAGGGCTGGAGAGTATGCCTAGAAATTAGACATTAGACATTAGAATGACATTCATTTAATTAATTAAAGAACAAAAATCTTTGTGTTCCTCCTCTCCCCTTCCCTCTCCTCTCTCCCCTCCAACCCCCATTCAGCTTTTCAATTTCTACCCACTGTCAGTACAATAGTGGGACCATTTCTCAACCTTTTTCTTTTCTTTTTTTCTTTCTTTCTTTCTTTCTTTCTTTCTTTCTTTCTTTCTTTCTTTCTTTCTTTCTTTCTTTCTTTCTTTCTTCTTTCTTTCTTTCTTTCTTTCTTTCTTCTTTCTTTCTTTCTTTCTTTCTTTCTTTCTTTCTTTCTTTCTTTCTTTCTTTCTTTCTTTCTTTCTTTCTTTCTTTCTTTCTTTCTTTCTTTCTTTCTTTCTTTCTTTCTTTCATAAATCCGTCCTTTGGGCTTAGGTAGGAAGCCAAAGCTGAAACACTGCCATCTTGTGGGCATTAAGAGATAGGCAGGACAGAGCACTTACCAGCGATACAGGCTGTCATGAAGCTGGCTACAGTACCAGCAATCAGAGCCCTGAAAGCCCCTCCAGCAATGTCGCGCTTCCTGGAAGGAGCCATAGATGCTAGGGAATATGGAACAAACATGGAGTTGTTAATGGGTTCAGATAAGGCCTCCCCCAAAATGTATTATCTCCAGAAGGAGCTCTGGGGTTGGACTGTTCAATGCATGCATCTTCTGAATAGAAGTGCCCAGGGTTCAGTTTTTGGTGGGGAGCTCCTCAAGGTGGGAGACAGGAGTTTGACCAGAGTTGTAATTAGGAGAGGGCAACTGGGGTTTTCTTGTAGAGTGCTGAAATTTAGAGGCCACTGACAGTTTTAGTGATTCTTTAGCAGGTGGAAACAAGAGTAGCCCCTAGTAGCAAGAGTAATTTACTTAAAATAGAAAACTACCAGATGGCATGGTTCCTCCCATGAATGGTAGTATAAGCTTCTGGTCTTGACCCTGCCCCATTCTTGTAGGGTCTTGGTCTCAACCTGGCAATCTAGCTGAATTTGTCTCAAAAGGTTTCTTCAAGAGTACTTTGTAAGCTGCTTGACACGAGGCATATTTTGTTGTGCTTGCCCTAGGATCCAGAATTAGTAGCTATGGCTCTGAGTCTGACCCACTAGAAAGGGTTGAGGTTTTTATTCTGAAAAGCATAGCCTTGCCTAGGGAACAAGAAATAGGCTAGATACAACAGAATTCCTATGATTAATCAGAAACAGGTATGCGTGGCAGGATGGATGGGTGGGGGACTGTTATACACTTGGGCATTTGGAGGAAGTGGGCTTGAATGTCAGTGCAGAAACTCTATTGTAGCTGATTCAGAGAAATCTATATTTGTAAACAGATATATAGTTATATATAGATAGCTACACACACACACACACATATGATATATCCAATTTGGATTCAATCAAAGGGCCCCACCTAAGGATCTAAAGGGCCACATGTGTCCTTGAGGTCACAGATTCCCCACCCTGATATATATTGGGGAGGGGATCTTTTTGTGGCATATGCATTTATTGCTGTATTGTTCCTTTCCTACCTTCCCAGTGCTGGTGAGATCTTTTTCCTGGTATTAGAGAGAATGAGACAGATGAAGAAACCAAGCATTTCAGTTTAAACTGCATCAAAATCACACAGGGGTTCGAAGAAAGAACATTATTACTTACTGAGTCCTCCAATAACTACCCCCAGAGAACCAAAATTGGCAAAGCCACAAAGGGCATAGGTGGCAATGGTTTCAGAGTGAACCTGTAAGGCAAGTAAGACACACCCAGATCAGCAAATGACATGGCCGTGGCTGGGAAACAGTCTCATATATTAAGTTCTGAGGCTTGACTGGCACTTCCATTGACTATTAAAGCAACATGATATACTAACTAGAAAGAACACTGTATTTGCCATCAGAAGAGTTAGGTTCAAATCTTAGCTCTGCCGTTTATTACCTACGGCAACTCTTTATGCTTCAGCTTCTTAGTCTGTAAAATGAAGACACTGGATTAGATGACCTCTAATATCCCTTCAGGGTCTAAATTTGTGACCCATGTAAGTCACCACTGAGCTTGGTTTTTGTGGTTGTGTCCAACTCTTGGTGACTCATTTTTGGGGTTTTCCTAGCAGAGATACCAGAGTGACTTGCCATTTTCTTCTCCAGCTCATTTCACAGATGAGGAACTGAGGCAAACAGGATTGAGATCTTGAGCAGGAAGGGGCCTCAGAGGCCATTTAGTATAACCCCCTTCATCTCTTAAAGATGAAAAAAACTAGGGCAGCTAGGTGGTGAAGTGGATAGAGCACCAGCCCTGGAGTCAGGAGGATCTGAGTTCAAATTTGACCTCAGACACTTACTAGCTGTTTGACCCTGGCAAGTCACTTAGCCCCAATTGCCTTAAAAATAAAAGATGAAGAAAGTAAGTGGTCACACAGGAAATAAGTATCAGAGGGTGGGGACTTGAAGCTCAGGCCCCTAACTCCTAGTCCCTTTGTCCTGCCTAATCCTGGAACATTCAGGTTTAGGTCACAGAATAAACAAAACAAGTAGGGAACCAAGTATCCCTTCCACCCCTTCCCCTTTACTCATTAACTAGATTTTTAAGCCAACATTCAAGCTGGCTGAATGGGGAGGGTTAAGTTTTCTATTTATTACAAGCTTCAACACCCCACTCCCTGCCCTTTTCTGTTTCTGAGAACCCCTTTGTTGATGTTTTCGAATAACACGCATATGGCAAGCAGGAAAAAAAATTATTTCAGGTATTCATTTGGTCTACTTTTCCTGGAAACGCTTTTGTTTCGTATGTCTCCCATTTCCCTCCTCCTCTTGCTCAGCAATAAGGACTGTGTTCTGTCACTCTTTATACTTTGTCCAAATGGCTTCAAAAGCAGGATTGCACTGTGGGGTGGAGATGAGAGGGAGGGTAAGAGAGGAGTGGAGGGAGGGAGAGAAAGAAGAGGGGAGAGAGAGAAGGAGAAACAGGGACAGACAGACACAGGGAGGAAATGGAGAGAAAGAGAGAGGAGGGAGGGAGAGAAAGAGGGGAGAGAGAGGGAGAAACAAGGAAAGACAGATACAGGGTGAAATGGGGAGAGACATAGAGGGGAGAAAGGAGGGAGGGTGGAAGAGAGAGGGAGAAAAAGGGAGAGGTACTTCTCTCTGGGAGCTGAAGGGAGAGGAAGACACATAGATGCATCCACGGCCATGCTATCATGCAGGTTTAAAATGAACAAGAGGAAGGCTAAGAAAATCTGTGGTGATCCCCCATTGTTTTGTTTATATAAAAGTACAGGTGAGGTTGTAGAATGAAAAACTCACTTCTCTATCAAAATAAAAAAAGCAGTGTGCTTTTTTGTGTGTTTTTAAAAGAATAATCCTTATTTTAAGAGAAATTAAGGGATTACTAAAGTATAGTGGAAGTTACACTGGCTTTGGGATCAGAAAACTGAAGCTCACATTCTTGTTTTCTTTCTGAATATCTTTGGTGACCTGGGGCAAATCTCTTAACCTTTCTGGTCCTGTTACCTCATATAAAAAAAGGATCTTGGCTTAAATAATCTTTAGGGCAATATTTCTACAAATGGAGGCCATGATGGCACCCCAAGGGTACTATAGTTCAATCCAAGGAGTGGGTGATTAGGCAATCAGAGAATGGGAATGTGGGTTTCATCCCATCTTTCCCATAATAGCCATTCATAGCCTTGCCTTTGATATGACCAGGCCTATCTTATACCCATTTATATCTCAATACTTCCCAACTCCACCCTCCTTATGCATCTTTTCAAATTCCCAAGCTTCTCCCTTTTGAGTCTTTCAGGGCTGATTATAACCCAGGTTAATTATAACCTAACCCTGACTGGAGCAGCTGCACAGATGTCATTGGGACATTCCCCATCCCATCCCCCTCCTGCCTCTTTCCTCAACAGCGTATTTACCAGAAGCATTTCTGATAGAGGCAGCAAGGTCAAGATCACTTCCAAATTACCTTCTAGTTACCAAATCCAATTATCCTATAAACTTCTTACCCCCATAAGGTGGGTTCATTTTGTCTGATGTGGCTTCTACTTGTTCTATAACCAGTCCTTAAGGAAGAGTTTCTCTCAGAGTCATCTCTGGCATTTCAGGTTTACAACTTTAAGAAGTCAGGTAGTCAGGTAGATCTCCCTGCCTCCAAATATCTCTTCCATTATAAGATACCACCTTCTATGAATTCATAAGCTACCAGGCCTTAGATCAAGGAAATATACACAGAAATGCCTCTTAAAAATACAAATATCCCTGGGAGGCTTAAAACAATTATTAATACCATTAAGATATTATGAATTAGTGAATCAATAGAATGTAATTTCTTTTGAGGGTAGGGACTGCTTCATATTCGTCCCCAGCGTCTATGGCAATGCTTAGCACATAGTAGGCACTTCATAAATGCCATGTTGATTAATTGGTGCATCATAGGTGAGCAAGTTAGTTATCTAGCGAGGACCTGAGACAACAAGCCATAGGATATTTATTTGGATCAGAAGAGCAGGTCTGATGTTTGAAGTTCAGGATGAGGTGAGTTGGATAAGATTAGGTTAGCTTAAGAAGCAAGAATAACTATTGAGAGAAACACTCTTTTCTTCCCTAGGGCCAGTCCTTCCAGGAATGAATAGTACCATGGAGCCCAAGAAGAAATAATCAACCTCATGTGGAGAATCATTTTCTTCCATTGAGAAGCAGACCTTGTATTTAAGTCACAGTGAAACATATTTTATCATTTTTCTAAGGTACTCTGGGTATTTTCCAAATATCTAACCCTCACAGCACCCATAGGGAATTAAATAGGATTTATTGTTATCCCTATTCTTAGTGTTGGGGAAACATATTTATAGTCACTAAATGATTTCTCCAGAGTGATTTGGCAAGTAGGATAATTAGAACACAAGAATCCTAACTCCAGTGGACATTCTTCTTCTAAATGTCTGAGGATAGATTGGGGGAGTAGAGAAGGTAGAAGTGAACTTCTTGAAATCTTGATAAAATCAGTTGGTTTTATCCCAATTTTTAATCAGCACTTTTGTACTTAAGTTGCACCCAGAATTGCCTTTTCACAAAGCTACTGGGGGTTGCAAAGGTTGTAGGCTCTCTTGTATTATACAAGACTATTTACTTTAGGTGACTGGCAGTTGGGAATAGAAAACATTTTACTTAATTAAGCCTATTCTCTGCATTTGACAAGGAAGCGTGATGATACCCAGTCTTAACTAAACATAAAGGACAACTGGCTATGGATTCTTATTATGGGAACCCCTCAGAGGTTATCAAGATATGTTGCTTCCAGAGCAGGAGAAACTTGAACAAAGAGACAGAGTCTGGAACAGCTGTATTTGATGAACAGGTTAAATCTCATTGCCAAATGCACAGGACAGAATGTCACCAAAGGTTGAAAAAAAAAAGCCAACAATGTGAGTAGGAGGTGGTGAGACTAGAAAGGTGAGTATGGCCCCATTGTCCAAAAAAAGGCCCTTAGAACATAGTAAAGCAGACTTCTTAACCTGGGGAACCCTAATACACTGTTGGTGAAGTTGTGAACTAGTCTAACCATTCTAGAGAACAATTTGGAACTATACCCAAAGGGCTATCAAACTGTGCATACCCTTTGATCCAGCAATACCACTTCTAGGTCTGTGTTCTAAAGAGATCATAAAAACGGGAAAAGGACTCACATGTACAAAAATATTTATAGCAGCTCTTACTGTAGTGGCAAAGAATTGGAAATTGAGAGGATGCCCATCAATTGGAGAAGGGCTGAACAAGTTGTGGTATACGAATGTAATGGAGTACTATTGTGCTATAAGAAATGACGAACAAGATGCTTTCAGAAAAATCTGAGAAGACTCATATGAACTCTTGCAAAGCAAAGCAAGCAGAACCATTGTACACAGTGACAGCAATATCATAACGGTGATCAACCGTAAAAGATTTAGCTACTCTGATTGAGATAATGATCTGAGACAATTTCATAGGACCCATTATAATGAGTGCTATCTATCTCCAGAGGGAGAACTAGGAACTCTGAGTGCAGATTGGAGAATGCTATTTAAACTTTTCCCCTTGTTATTGCTTTTTTTTTTTTTGGTGTGTTTCCTTTTGCAATTGGCTAATATGGAAATATGTTTTGCAGGACTTCACATGTGTAGTCGATATCAACTTGCTTGCTTTCTCAAGGAGGGGGGAGGGGTAGGTAGGAGGGAGAGAGTTTGGAACTCAAAATTTTAAAAAAGAACGTTAAAAAATTTCTTTACATGTAATCAGGAATATTTAATGAAATACATATTTTTAAAAAGGCCCCTAGCTACCTAGCTTAGTGGCTGGACTTGTGAGCCAGGAATACCCAAGGTGAACTTTTGCCTCAGATACTTATTAGCTATGTGATTCTGGGCAAGACACTTAAGCTCTCTAAGCCTCAGTTTCTGAATTTGTAAAAGAGGGATACTAAAATATGCCTTGCAGGATTCTTGTGAGGACCAGAAGAGATAATACATAAAAACGTTTCAATTTCATTTTACTTCAGAAATGGTCAGGTGCTACAACAGCTCCCTACCCCCAAACTCATATGCACACACATCTTTTATTAACTGTATTTCAATATAATTGGTTTCCCCTGTAATCTTATGTATTTTATTTTATTCTTTTAAGAATATTGTTCTAGGGGCAGGTAGGTGGATAGAGCTCCGGCCTTGGAGTCAGGAGGACCTGAGTTCAAATGTGACCTCAGACA